AACAACACTTCGCCAACGGGTACCAACGGGACTGATCGACGCTCATTATTGTACCTTAGCCCCCCCGATCGTGCTGTCCTCCAACCAACTGCAGTGCCTTTCGAACAGCGTATCGTCTCTCTCACTCTTCCATTCTCTCATTCTCCCTTGCCTTTTTTTTGTCCTCTCTTTCGTTCGGTGAGTACGTAGACGTTGCGTGTGAGTGTATGTGTGTGTTTTGTCGTTGATCGCGTTTACGTTTTCACCGCGATGTCATCCGGTAACTGGGAACTGGTCAGCAGGAAGAAGGACAGGGGCAACGACAAGTCGAACAAGCTCACGAAGGCTGAGAAGAAGAAATTCATTGAGAACGCGCCGAAAGTCGAAGACTTCTGTGAGTCGTTTCCGTCATAATCTACCCACCTTCCACCTCAGAAGCCTTCTAGCTTCTGCTCCAATTCTCCGTGACTTTGACGATTTGCTGTCGACGAGCAATCGACTATCAGCTGAGAGAACGATGCGAGCCGGGTGCATCTGACCTGCTTCAATCGCGCGTGAAATGTATAAAGAGAGGGTCGCAATATGGTACTATCGTGTGTGTACTTTCTGCGACGCTCATTCTGCGATTACTCCTTTTTGTCACAGAATTTTTAATATAGAAATACATGTCATGGTTAATCCTTTTGTATTTGTTTTGCATGATAAACTCCAAAGGATAATTCATCTGAAACTTAACTTAGAATTGTCTTGTACTTTAAGATACTCATTTTGCAATTATTCTTTTTTGCTATAGAAATACTTGACTCGCTATGATAAATCATTCTTTTGGAGTTGTCTTGCTAGATAACCCTAAAAGATAATTTATCTCAAATTTAATTTGAAGCCTTGTACTTTGCTATACTTATTCTGCAATTTCTTCTTTTTACCATAGAGTGATATAGAAAATACTTGTCGTGATATGATAAATTATTGTTTGAGTATTGTTGTATCATATTAAATAGCTCTAAAGGATAATTTATCTCAAATTTAATTTGGAGTCTTGTACTTTGTAATACTCATTCTATAATTGCTCCTTTTTACTATAAAATTATATAGAAGTATTTATCACGATATGATAAATAATCCTTTTGTGTGAAGTTGTATTATAAAATACTCCAAAGGAAAATATTTACCTCAAAACTTAGAGGCTACTATTTTGCGAGCATCTTTATAGTCTTTTTACTCAATATTTTACTCTTATCAAGGAAATTGTATATCTAACTTAGTATAAATATAATTTTAGTGCCTTTGAGTCAAGTGAAGACACTGTACGATAACTTAGATGGAAACAAAGAGAATAAGAAGCCTGCCAAAACGCAAGGGAAAGAACACAAGACAAAGGAGAATGAGGAGAAGAAGAAGCAACATCAGAAACAGCAACAGCATGTTGAAAAGAAGAAATCTGAGCCAAAGGAGAAACCTCCAAAAACTGTTAAGGATGCATTGAATGCGGTAAGATTGTTTTTAACTTGGAATATATATTATATTATATAAAATTTGGAATCATATTTGCTATTAATCTTTTTATTGTATATATTTTTATACACATCATATTCATTTAGAAAAAATGTAAACTAATTTCATTTTATTTCAAATTGCTTGAATTATATGCTAGTAATTAATTCCTTATAATGCACACAGATTGATCCACAAGAACTCGATGAACTTTTGGCCACTGCACAAGTCAGATTTCCCGAGGCTCCCCTGCTCTGGTTGAAGGAACTCAATGCCTTCCTCAACATTAAGATACCCATCAACAAGGAAGATGCGATTTTCTCAGGAAAACCCAAGGATTACCCGTTAAGTTTAGTACCTAAAGCGATCTCTTCCATACTAGAACGAGCAGTGGAGATGACAGGCCAGCAAACCATACAAATTTTTTATGAGAACACTCTCACGGCAATGGCCACTGACATGGTCAAGGGAATTCCCGTTATCGGACACAAGATATTTTTGCAGTTGCTAGCGCACTTAAATCCCGAAATGACTGCCGCCAACATTCTCAAACTGATTACCATAAGGAATTCTTACGAGAATAGGAAGAACATTGGCTTGTCTTTGTTATGGGCCTGGTCACAGGCCGGCAAGAAGAATTTTGCGGTCGGTTTGAAAATTTGGCATGAAGTAATGTCACCGATGCTGGAGACGAAGGGCTACGCCAGTTACGTTGTGCAAATTCTTAACGATCTCGTCTTCGGGCATGATAATGTCCATGATCTTAGTCTGGATCTATACCTGAGTATCATCATGGATACCTATTCTCAAAGGTTTCAAAACATTCAACCCGCGAATCTTGGAAAAGACCTTAGCGCGAGTATCGACAGGTTGAGAGTAAGTAATGCAGACACAAATTTGAAGCTTATATCATGTATTTTAGTTAACTTTAGATATACACTTATTTTTTACGTACATTATTATTATTATTACCACACAGGGATCTATGAGATTCCATTAGTTCTTTCATTATAATACTTTTAAAATTGATTAATTTTTTTTTTATCGTAAATGAATTAAAAAATACATTTATTGACTTAAAAATAATTCAAAATCATAATAAATATTTAAAAACATGATCTCTCTATTTACTAATGTTACTAATAATAAGATTTTGAAATTTCACTGAGTCTCAAAAACCCTAGAGTATATTAAGTCTATACAAAACTTAACTCGCGAGCTAATATATCTAAGGTTTTATAAAAATGTAATACATGTACGATTTGGCGATGCGGTTTGATGTCGGTAGTGAAATCAATATGGTAAAATTTTTTGCAGTCAATATTGTTTAGAAACAAGGATATATGTTACACGAAATTGTTTGAAATGTTAATGGGAAAAGTATCGCAGAAGTCAGATTTGAACTATAGGAACGAGTTGATTAAGGTTCTTGCGGATTGTCTCGTCACGGAACCTGTTTGCTTCACTATTTGGAGTTCCATTTATACCAAGAATTTATACCAATCCAGTCTTCTTCTGTCATATATTGGTGAGCTTTTCTCATATCTTTCAGTATTGTACATTTACGCAAAATATTCGAGAAAAAAATGCAAAAATTCGCGTGCTTACAGAAACGAATTTACCTAGTTTACAAACCAAGTTCAAAGCTAAGCATTTCAAAGAAACCCTCGGAATTATTCAAAACAATAATGAAAAGTGGAAAAAAGCCAAAGACGAAAACCTGGCGCTTACATGCAAGAAATCATCTCAGGTGAGTTCTCTCTTTTATACAATATATTTTTATAATTTTTTCAGAATACGTAATTAAAGTAATTTAAGAAACTAAAATTCATTTCAATATATATTATAAATTTATATCTAAGCTATTGAAGGATACGATCGCATAAAAAAAATGTATGTATATTTATTTAACTCTTAATACACATGATGATTTTTCTTTACACATGATGAGTCGTTCGTGTCAATTTTCATCACTTTTACTATAAAAATTATTAAATGGTTCTTACATATATCTTAACACTTTTAGAAAGTTTTGTTAAAGTTGTACTTATATTTAAAAAAATAAAAGAATAAATATAATCAATTCATTTTGTGGGAATCAATTCCCACAATCATTATTCACTCAGATATTCTTAATATTTAAAAAGCGGAATGACCGATCGTGTGTAAAGGTTAATAATACATCTAAAATTGCAATTTCATATCAAACGTATCACCTGATAATATATCGATATACATATCATTTGATAACATATCATATTGAAAGTGTTTTTAAAATAATTATCTGTGTTTGTAATGTTTATATAATACCCTTATCTCTCTTGCAGAAAATAAAAACATCTGATACAAGTAGACTATAGTATACTATAATCTATTTGCATCATGCATCTGACATACTTTTTTTTGCATTGATCATGTTATGCACAGAGAGAAATTTATTTTTCATCGTCTCTCTTGTCTGAGATATATAAAGTCAATTATTTTATTAAAAGAATGAATTCTGTATTTTCTTTTACTACTATATAAAATGAGAATCATGCAAGAAGCCGTGAAAATATAAAAGTCACATATATTGTGTCGAGAGGTTACAGACCTAAACGGTAAACAGAAATGACAGGCAAAAATTACTGCTTAATTACTAGATTTAACTAATCCGGATCTAGTTGCGTGGTGAAACTCGAAGCGCGGCATTCTTCTCTGACAATGCGATTCTGCCTCTGACAATGGTCGTATGCTTAACCAGGTAACAAACATAACTTGCACGTATTGCATTTAATGTGATGTATTATGTGACTCATGACATTCGAAGCAATACCTTGGTGAGCTCGCAGAAAATTTATCTGCTTCAATGCGAACAGACAGTCACGGACAATTAAACTTAGAAAGCATTTCTCCCGGCGAATTCTCAGTTGGATTGCGAATCTCACACTTCTTATCACAACTTTCAATTCGCCGGCAATATTTTAGCAAATGTGCTATAAACATAGATATAGATATGTGTGAACATTCTCTATTGAATAACAAATCAAAGATCTATTGTTTTTAGCTGAACTTCCTGTGCACGGTTCATCTTTTTCTCTTCAACGTGAAAAGTAACGTAGAAAGTTGAATCGTGTAAGAAGTTCAACTAAAAGAAGAACAGGCCTAATACTTTCAGATCGAATTTCCCTTCACTTTTACATGCATCAACAAACACATGTGCGTAAAGAATAATGAATATAATTTGTTGGACAGGAGAAAAACCGAATTCCCGATCAATAATAGGTGTAGTAATTCTTTAGTCTTTTGCTCTAAGTAATTTAAAATTTTATAGTTAAAATCTCTAATTTAAAGTTTAACGGTTTAAGACAGCGCTGGAGAAACGCTTTTTGCCGGAACACACAAAATGTTATAGTTTTAGAACAATAATACGCAACCTGCCGTCCTGTGAATTTTTACGCCTCCTCAACTCAACCAAAAAATATAAAATTTTCTATTTTAGGCAAATGAAATATTATGCGGCCTTTTAAGCTGTTTTTGTTTCTAAAAATGGCTCTGAATGATCTTTAAAAAAAGTTGCACATTTAGAGTTTAATACAAAAGGCTAAAGATTTATTACCATAAACATATCCAGAATAGTGAGAAAAGAAATGTATCTTGATACAAAATGTATTAAAACATTTATATTTAATATAAATATTTATTAAATATTTATATTAAAGAGCTAATCTTTTAGAACCTTGGCGAACTTTCTTACAAATAATATATATGTTTTATATTATACGGGTAATAGGTGTTTAATTTGTCATAATTTTATGTTAAAATCGTCTTAAGTAATATCTTAAGATGCTAATAAATATAAGAACCGACTATGAATGAAAAAAAACCGGTCTAGGAATTTAAAAAAAGATAAAGATCCGTATTTATAATCAGACTTTGTATTTAAGGCTTCCTTGAATTTATTTTTAGATGCTCAGTAGCCAATAAAATAATTCGTAACGCCTCTGAAGATAAATTTAAGGGAGGCCTTACATATATTCGACATTAATTAGCAATAAATCAAAAGTCAGAAGCTCTTTAGAAATTGACCAATCATAGTCGATTATTCTTCTTACATTTGACTGTGCTTGGTTAATTTTTAGCTTCAGACTTCCGATTTATTACTAATAGACTACTAGAAATTAAATATAATGCCTGACTACGAATGCGGGCAAAAGAGTCAGTTGAACCGAAATTGAAATTAATCTGCATCGCAAATAGACAAGAGAATTATATTATCAATCTCATCTCTTCGTACGTATGAGATTGAACGTGGATGGATGTGATTTATAATTAAACAGAATTCGGCTCGGGTAAGATCTCTTATCAATGGAGCTCGATAAGAATAAGCGTTGACAGTTGTCTGGTGCCTCTTTTCGCCTCGTGTAACAATACCGTTGTAGATTAGTCTCGCAATTGCGCGCGTCGCAGTCTCCAGTCATCTCCAGTTAGTGCGCGACATTCTACGCAGCGCGCAGTCGTTCTTAGACCTGGTGACGCGTATGTACGTACATCGATAACAGAGCTGTAAATTCCATAACGTTGATACCTATCGTAGGTTTGAATTTTTTTTCTCAGCCCTCGCGTGTCTTCTTGTTTATCTTCTCGTTGTATCTCGACGTTCCATGTGAGACGCGTCGCGCCTCCGTTCAGCGCCTCTGTGAAGAGGAACGACTTCGATCTTGGATCCTGGAAGAGAGGCGGTAAACTATCAATTTTAGTTAACCGATGTCAAAAATGATGATAATATCTCTTTCCGCGCTACGCTTCCAGTGAAAAATTAACTGCATCAATGAAAGATACGATCTATAAAGTTACATCCTACTTTTGTTTTCGTGCAACAAATCTAGGTGTCGATTATTGTAGATCTGTTTTTTGTGTCTGAACTAGTATACACTTTTGGAATTTAAAGTGAGACGTGTTTAACGAAAACGAGAAAGAGAGTTCTAGTACGGAAATAAAAAAAAAAACGGATCTTGTGTATCTTGAAACGAAGTGAAAATTTCAAAAGTGAGAAGAGTCGGTAGGTGTCGACCAATGAAACTATAAATATTCTAAAGAATTTGTTCACTTTTGTCATTTTCATCCTATCTCGAGATACACATCAATCAACCCTATGGGGTCTCGAAAAATATCCTGTACGAAAATACTGGGGAAATCTATAATATACGTGACGTATACTGTAGTGTTTCGTAGGTATGCGAGATTTTTCGAGAATAATAACGGCCTAGATTTCGTCTGAGATTTCTTTCGTGAGGCAGATAAAAGAGAGAGGAAATAAAAAACGAGAAGAGGTGATCCCTACAGAAGTGATCTTGAAAAGGGATTCGCGTCGCGAAATCGGACAATCGTCGCGGATTTCTAACGGATCTCGTCGTCGTCGTCGTCGTCGTGGAGCCGGTGAATAGCCGAGGTTTCAATCTCGCGATCGAGAAAACGTTACGCAGCAAAGCGACGCGGCGTCTCAGGTTAAGTTGAAGGTACCTTTTCACTTTGACGCCCGGAGCTTATTTTTGGGTACGGATTTACAGTTTATTCGAGCGGTTACGAACGATTGCTCGCGTTCGGTGGAATATTTATCTTGCAACTGTTGGAAGTTTTCTTCGCACTGATTGAATTATGCTTTTAGGCCTAGAAAAACAGTCCTTATCTCAGCGAATAAAATTTTTAACAAAATAAACAGAACTAGAAAAGTTATTTTCAAAGTCACTTACAAGTTACCTTTTAGGTTATCTTATATGTGTTTGTTATGGAAATCGAGTACAGAAGTAATGCAAAATTGGAGCAACTGATATATAAAATATAATATAAAACTTACTGTACTCAATTTCTATAATAAAAAGTAACTTATATAACAAGTAACTTGTAAAGTAGCTTTCCAAACCCTGAAAATAAATATTTGATAAACGTCAAAACAGGTCGCTGATCAAAATCACGCTTGACATTCGTCAGTTTTGACCACGTGGCCTTTTTTAACGCTACACGCTGGCACTCAAAAAAAAAAAAAAAAAAAAAAAAAAA